ATCTATGCAGAAATAGAAGTATAATGATGTACACCTGAAGTTTATACAATGTTATAAACCAATGTTACTGCAATAAAAAATTAAAACAAAAAAACAAAAAGCAATTATGATAAAAAAAGAACGCAGGGCCACAAAAAAAAAAAAGAAAGAAAAAGAAAAGTAGGAAAACTTCTGCTTATCAAGATAATTTTAGATGCCCCTCTTCTCACTTCCACTTTCTTTTTTACATTCTGAGCTGAAAGAAGTTGGTCAAAACGGCCTACTGTCTCAAGTCTGAAAAGAAAAGCTGTAAAAATTATAATACAGCATTTGAGAGTTTGTCCAAAGTGCATTCAAGTACATTATTTCATTTAATATGCAAAAGGAACTTTAGAATTCGTATTATGCCCATGTGACCGATGAGGAGACGGAAACTGAGAAGGGTGAAGAACTGCCTAGGCTACGCAGCTAGAACCTGCGAGAGCTTGAATCCAGAGCTCCTAACTCCCCACAGAAGCACCGAAGAATTCATTCCATCACCTTGACCTGGGCATCAGCAGTACATCCACAGAGGGTAGCTTTTCATGTATGAACATGCACAACTGGATGAATAACTATACAACGAAGTAAAAACACAGATATTTATCTCAAAGGTACAATCTATGATATTAGAGATTCTGATTTTGAGAATACGTGTCACAGTACAGAGAATTATAATTGGTGTATTTGTCTAGATAAGATTAAATATGAGAATGTTACCCATATACTAAGTGCACTTTCAAGAAACATCATATATAATCAGAGTAATCTTTTACACTAATTAACTCAACAGCAATAAGGGAAATGTTAGTCTGAATATTAAAAAAGAAAAGAACACAATAAGTTGAAATTATCAATAATTGCCACTCAGCAACATTTTAATTTCATAAAAATTTTAAAAAGACACAAGATGCACAGTAATAAAACTATCACTTTTAGGGCCGGCCCGGTGGCATAGCGGTTAAGTGCACGTGCTCCGCTGCGGCGGCCCGGGGTTGGCAGGTTTGGATCCCGGGCGTGCACCGACACACCACTTGTCGGGCCATGCTGTGGCGGCGTCCCATATAAAGTAAAAGAAGATGGGCACGGATGTGAGCCCAGGGCCAGTCTTCCTCAGCAAAAAAGAGGAGGATTTGGCATTGGACATTAGCTCAGGGCTGGTCTTCCTCAAAAAAAAAACAACTATCACTTTTGTGCCGCAGACAGTTATCACAGGAACCATTCCTGAGTTTTGCTGACTTGTGTCCATAACACTACACTTCCTGAGTGATGTTATAAAAATACACTTCACTTGGACAGAGAGAAAATGTGTGAGAAAAGTCTCAACTGTCTTCATGAAGCAGAAATGTCCTTAAACAAAAAATGAGGACTTAAAAAATGGAGATTGACCGGGGCCGGCCGGTGGCGCAAGGGGTTAAGTGCGCGCGCTCCGCTGCGGCGGCCCGGGATTCACCGGTTTGGATCCGGGGCGTGCACCGACGCACCGCTTGTCAAGCCATGCTGTGGTGGCGTCCCATATAAAGTAGAGGAAGATGGGCATGGATGTTAGCCCAGGGCCAGTCTTCCTCAGCAAAAAAAGAGGAGGATTGGCAGATGTTAGCACAGGGCTGATCTCCTCACCAAAAAAAAAAAAAAAAATGGAGATTGACCAAAAGATTACCTATAGACTTAAAAGTCAAAGAGAAATATGAGAAATTAGATGAAATCATAAGAGAAGTCATAAGGTATGGTGTGTTTCTATGGCATAGAGTGACCAGAGAGAGAGGATTACCATTTTCTTCCAGTAGACACACCAAGGCATGGGTGTCAAAGTAGAGCTTCCTACTCCCGGAAGAGGTGAAATCTGTCCTCTTGTGCTCCAGCTGCAAGCACGCAGCAGACAGGCTCAGCTCTAGAATGGAAAGGACAATAAGGTTCAAAACAGATCTAAGGGTAAACAAAAGCAACTCCCTTCCACGAACAAATAAGGCATACCTCAAGAGCCCATCTGTTTTTTTTACAACAGGTTTATTGAGATATAATTCACATACCATACAATTCACCTACTTCAAGTGTACAACTCAACGGTTTTTAGTATATTTACAGAGTTGCACAACCATCCCCACAATGGACATCAGAACATTTCATCATCCCCTAAAGAAACCTATACCGTTTAGCTGTCACGCCCCAATCTCCCTACCCTCCATCCCCAGGCAACCGCTGATCCACTTTCTGTCTCTATGGATTTGCGTACTCTGGACATTTCATATGAACAGAATCAAAGGTATGTGGCATTCTGTGACTGGTTTCTTTCACTTAGTGTGATGTTTTCAAGGTTCATCCACCTTACAATATGTTTTCCCTTTATTATTATTTCCTTTTATTGCCGAATAATATTCCATTGTATTACTATACTGAATTTTTTTACCTATTCATCAGTTGAAGGACACTTGAGTTGTTTCCATTTCTTAGCTATTATGAATGATGCTGCTATGAGCATTTGTGTATGAGTTTGTGTGCAGACATGTTTTCAATTCTCTTGAGTACATACCTAGGAATGGAACTGCTGCATCATACAGTAACTCTATGTTTAACCACATGAGGTTATGTCAGACTGTTTTCCAAAGAGGCTATACCATTTTACACTCCCAACAGCAGTGTATGAGGGTTCCAATTTCTCCATATCCTCAACACTTGTAATTATCTTTTTTCTGCTCAGGAATATTGGCCCTGAGCTAACATCTGTTGCAAATCTTCCTCTATTTTGTATGTGGGATGCCGCCACAGCATGGCCACCAACCAACAGTGTAGGTCCATGCCCAGGAACCGAACCTGGGCCACTGAAGCAAAGCGCACCAAACTTAACCACTAGGCCACCAGGGCTGGCCCTCTGTCTTTTTTTACTAGAATCATCCTAGTGGGTGTAAAGTGGTATCTCACTGTAGTTTTGATTTGCATTTCCCTGATGGCTAATGATGTTGAGCATCTTTTCATGTGCTTATTGGCCATTTGTGTATCTTCTTTGTCCATTAAAAAATTGGGTTATCTTGTTATTACTGAGCTGTAAGAGTTCTTTACATGTTTTAGATATAAGTTTCTTATCATATATATGAGTTGTAAATATTCTCTCCCATTCTGTGGGTTGTCTTTCACTTTCTTGATGGTGCCTTTTGAAGCACAAATGAAGTCTTTATTTTTTTCTTTTGTTCCTTTCGCTTTTGGTGTCATATTTAAGAAAGCACTAGCTAATTCAAGCACACAAAGATTTACACTTAGGTCTTTTTCTAAGAGTTCTACAGTTTAAGATCTTACATTTAGGTCTGTGATCCATTTGAGTTAATTTTTATATGTGGTGTGAGATGCAGGTTCAACTTCATTCTTTTGCCTATGGATGTCCAGTTGTCCCAGCACTATTTTCTCCCTTAAATTGTCTTGTGAGTCTTGTCGGAAGTTAATTGACTATAAACGTAAGGGTTTATCTCTGGTTCTCCATTCTATTCCATTGATCTGTCTGTCCTTATGCCAGCACCACAGTTTCTTGATTACTTGTAGCTTTGTGGTAACTTTTAACATCAGGAAGTGAGTCCTCCAACTTGGTTCTTTTTCAAGATTGTTTTGGCTATTCTGAGTCCCTTGGATTTCCCTATGCATTTTAGGATCAGTTTATCAATTTCTGCGAAGAGGCCACCTGGAACTCTGATAGTGATTACGCTGAATCTGTACATCAATTCGGGGTGCGGGGGTACTGCCATCTTAATTTTAAGTCTTCCAACCCATGAACATGGAATGTCTCTCCATGCATTTAGGTCTTTAATTTCTTTAATAATGGTATGTAGGTTTCAGAGTATAAGTTTTGTACTTTTTTTGTTAAATTTATCCCTAAGTATTTTACTTTTTGATGCTACTATAAAGGAAATTGCTTTTTAGATTTTTCAGACTGTTCATTGCTAATGTATAGGAATACAACTGATTTTTGTATATATATTTTTGCAAATTTTGTATATTGATCTTGTATCCTGCAATCTTGCTGAACTTGTTTATTAGCTCTAAAAGTTTTTTAGTGAATCCTTACAGTTTTCTACGTACAAGGTCATGTCATCTGTGAACAGTGATAGTTTTACTTCTTCCTTTACAATCTGGATGCCTTTTCATTTTCCTGCCTAACTGCTCTGGCTAGAACTTCTAGTACAATGTTGAATGGAATGGTGAGAACAGACATCCTTGCTCCTGACCTCAGAGGGAAAGCATCTGTTTTTGCCATTAAGTATGATGTTAGCTATGGGATTTTCACAGATGCTCTTTAACACATGAGTTCTCTTCTATTCCTAATTTCTTAAGTGTTTCTTATCATGCAGGGGTGTTGAATTTTGTCAAATTCTTTTTCTTTGTCTTTTGATATGATCATGTGGTTTCTTTTCTTTATTTTGTTAATACGGTGCATTACATGAATTGATTTTCAGATGTTAAATGAACCTGGTGTTCCTGGGACAAAATCCCATTTGCTAATGGTGTATACTCCTTTTTATAAATTGCTGGATTTGGTTTGCTAGTATTTTGTTGAGGGTTTTTGTGTCTCTATTCATAAGAGATATTGGTCTGTAGTTTTCTTTCTTCATGATGTCTTTGCAAAAGCCTATCTTTAGAGGGATGTGTTCTAACAATTTGTATATTACCTTTTCTGTGAGTTTCTGTGCATTTAACCACAGATCCAACCCATTTTGCAAACTTGTTTCAAGGTGCTCATTTGAAGAAGGTAGCATAGTAATGGTTTCCTGGCTTTTAAGTATTTCATGAACCACAAAAATAGTTTAAAAGAAATATGGAACAACTGCAATGCCAGTTTGTAATTTTGTCAAGAAAGGACATTTAAACATAATAGCACCTTACTATTACAATCATACTAAAAAGACATGTTGACAGCAAAGGAAAAAAAAAAGAGATGAACAATATCAAATAAAAAAACTTTCATTTAAATGTAATAAACATAGCTATATGAATATCTTGCTACATATGTGTCCTTACTTTTCTATGATGCCAGGTGTTGTAGAAGAGTGGTAGAAGAGGGAATAGTAATCTCCTAACTCAAAATTCAAAGTTTTTCTCAGTAGGTCTCCTAAATGACCAGAAAGATACTTTAGCTAATCAACTCCTATTCTCCATCCTGCACCCCTAAACATTCTAAAGGAAATTGCAAGTAAGCAAAAATGTGACATGGACAGAACCCAACAGATCCGATGCTTCTCTGCAAGCCTATAGCAGTGGTTCCCAAATTACTGGCAACTTGGACAGAGCAGAGTGGCTGTGGCCACAGCCAGCATCAAGATAAGTCCAAGAGATCCAATAACCCCTTTGTACCATGCTCCGTTTGCAGACTGACAAAATATAAAATGCAACAACTATTATCCATGTGTGTGTTTAATGGTTAAAAGAGGGCCCTTAGATTCAAAGAACCACTAGCCTATACTATAAGGTCCTTGGCAAGGCATACAAAGCTGTCCTAATTTAGCCCACACTTACCCTTTCAGCTTTCTTTCTAGCCACTTAGACCATTCTGTTTCCTGCACTTTTATACCTTAGTACTCCATCCTTAAGCTTGGCTTGCTGCCCTTTCTCAACTGGTAAATTTTAAGCATCCTTTTTACTCCTCTTCATTTAATTTGACAATTTCCTAAGCACCCATTACGTTCTGGGCAGGGCATTATGCTACACTTTATTGTTCTCTCTGGGAACTCCACCCCTGTCAGGCAGCAGCCTTTACTGCTCCCTTATGTGTTCTCAGCCCAGCACAGATAGCTCTATCACAGCATTTATTATATTACTCCCATATCTGTCTCATCTATTAGTCCCAGCGCTCTAAGAGCAGCCAGTCTTAGTCACTTTTGTATTGTTAGCATCTAGCAGAGGGCCAGGCATACTGCAGGCCAGAAATAACTTTTAAAAATAATTCAACTGGGGGCCACCCCCGTGGCGTAGCGGTTAAGTGCGCGCGCTCCTCTGCTGGCAGCCCGGGTTCGGATCCCAGGCGCGCACCGATGCACTGGTTGTCAAGCCATGCTGTGGTGGCGTCCCATATAAAGTGGAGGAAGATGGGCACAGATGTTAGCCCAGGGCCAGTCTTTCTCAGCAAAAAGAGGAGGATTGGCGTGGATATTAGCTCAGGGCTGATCTTCCTCACACAAAAAAATAATAATAATAATTCAACTGTATGACTTCTAAGATCTGGATCATGAGACTGTCTAGAAAAAAAATTTGAGATCAACTCCTTTCTCCTCTTCATCTACGGTCCTCCCTTTTTACATAAATGAGGTCACTTAAATCTGGTACTACTTCTTTTTTTTTTTTGGGGAAGATCAGCCCTGAGCTAACATCCGTGCCAATCCTCCTCTTTTTGCTGAGGAAGACTGGCCCTGGGCTAACATCTGTGCCCATCCTCCTCTACTTTATACGGGACACTGCCACAGCATGGCCCGACAAGCGCTGCCAGCAGAGGAGCGCGCGCACTTCGCCACGGGGCTGACCCCTGGTAGTTCTTTTTTCATCTTTTATCTCCAGTCCTAGAACAAAAACTGGCCTCCATGAGAAGATACTCTGACTGCGTATCTTCCCTGACACAGAACAGACTTAGCTTGAGAAAAAGTGGTGAATGAGTGAATGAATGAATGCACCTCTCAAGGGGCTCTCTATAGACCACCCCACCCATCGTAGAACTGTGCTGGACTGTCCCATGAGTCAGGTAGCTTGAAAACATTTGAGTCTAGAACTGCCTTGTGAAGAGTGATGGGATTATTCCAGTCCCAAATTCCTTGTTTTCAATAACAAAATAATCATTCATGTGATTTAAAACAAAACACCCCCCTCACATACATACACACATAAAACAAAACAGTCATGACTACTTTCTAAGCAAGAGCTAATTCCAATTTAGATACTGCAGATTTTTTTCCTCTTCCAAAAACTACTGGCATTTATTTCAATTGCAAGCTTATTTCAAAGAAACATTGCTGTCTGAAAAGTGGAGAAAAGGGCAGGCCACTTCCCACTTGGCACTCTAGCCCTGCTGTGGAAGGGGAATGCCATCTTCCTTTCCCTCAGAGGACAACGCCCAAAACACAACAGGACTCTGGCACTTAGGACACCTCTGACTCATTTTTCCTCCTTTATTGTGACAACAAAACGAGGTCCAAGAACTATGAATTCCCACTAATAACCAGGAAACAAGAAAACTGAGCTATGTCAAAGTGTAATATGTAATTCTCTTTTTAGGGACCTTCAGCATACAAAAGGATATTAAAACACACACTTAGAAAAGAAGCCCCAAGTTAGCCTTGGATAGTGGAGGAACCCAAGTACAAATTTCCTGTTCACAACATCCTTAAGTCTAAGTAGCCCTCGTGTAACCTTGGGCACCAAACACCACTAGACTGAAGATAAAAGGAACAAAACTCTCATTTGCTGCTGGTTAATGGGCATATATCCTTCCTTGACTCTGTCCAAGCTACGGTTTTCCGTATTTATGCATCCATCCTCACTTTATAAGATGGCTCTGTGAAGAATGAGACCATTTGAGACTAACTCAACAGGACCACCTTGCTGATATAATGTCAGAAAACTGATGAGAAAAAACACTCTCCTCTTTTGCCCCATAATCTTGAATTATTGGAGGAAAATAAATCACAACTTACCAGCTTGTCAAAAAAAAGAGCAACAAAAGGCAAAGTACAAGAAATAAGACCAAAGCCATCTCTAATTCATAATGACTGCAGGACACTGACAGTTCACTACTCACTTCCCACCCTCTGTATGTAAAGCTTCGTTCACTTTGTTGTTCTACCAAACAGTTTCTCCCCCAGCCAAAGGTATTCTTAAATTTTAAATGCAACCAACATTTACTGGGCATTTCTGTTGAGAAAAATATCTTAAAAATAGCCATCAGAGTGGCTACTGATGGATATGTATAGACTATCTAAAGTTATATTTTGGCCAGTTTCCTAATTAATAAAGAGTACCCAAAATGATGTTTTCATCAATTTGTTATCTAGTGTATTGAGCCAGTTTAGACGATCCTAATCTCATGCAGGGCCCTGACTGCCCTCACCTCCTTCAAGTATTTAATCAACTGCCACCTTCTCAATGAAACCTCTTTTGATGACTCTATTTAAATTCGTAACTGGAGGCTCACCCCACTTCTTAATCCTTATCCCCCTCTATTCTTTCTTACAGCATTTATCAGATTATGTATACATATGCAAATCTAAAGTATATATGTATACATAAATTATATCATTTCCTCTGCTAGAATTAAACCCCAGGAAGGAAAAGATTTTATAGCCTGATAATCCCAAGTACCTAGAAAAGTGCCAGGCACAGAGTAGGAGACAGTGCTTAATGGAGGAATTAATGAACCCAACAAAGTTCGAAATTAAATTGTAAAACAATCTGTTCATTTCCCAGAGCTTCGCTCCTCAAACTCGCAAGCGTCCTGCACACCCCTTCACCGGAATCGCGACAAGCTGTGCATCCGACAGAACAGAAACCTGGGAGCGGGATGCCACGCCGCCGCGCCACCAATGGGCGTGCCCCATCTCTGCCCCAGCACGCCCGGCCCTCCCGGCATCCCCTTAAAATTCTGCGCCCTACACCTTGGACCCGGATTCCGAGTAAGTCGAATCTTTTCAGCTGACCAAGTCCAGGCTACCGCGGACCAGAAGGGCGGGACCAGGCAGACCTTCGTCCTCACGCCCCAGGAGGAGCCTGCTGACCTCGGCTGACCCACTCTGGGTCGCCGGGCCTTCCCCACCCTGGAGGTCATAGTCAAGCTCCTCCGGCCCCGCCGCCCCCGCCCGGCCCTCACCTCTCCTGGAGGAAGCGAGGCCGGCCGCCGGGCCGTGGCACAGGTGGAGGGCGCCGGCGGCACAGCGGGTGCGCGGGGCAAGGCGATGCTGGCAGCTCCCGGCGCCGCGCCG